AGGAAGTTATTTAATTTGATCCGGTATCGACGAATCGCACGGTCTTTCCGTCCAGTTAACGAGCCCGGAAAAAGTAATCGCCGCGCGAGTCTCGCCTCCGCGCGTCTTGGCGAGTCGACGGATAATTTCATTTTCCCCGCTTCGGAGACAAATCCCTGCACGCAATCCGCCTTCTTTTTTATCTTTTTTTTAGATGCCGCGCCTCTTGGAATAAAAACCGCTCAGTGAATTATACAATTACTCCGATATCGCGTTAACGGCGTGACGCTAATTATTTGTCCCGTTAACGTTGTAACGGCACGATAATTATTGGGCGAACGTTTCGATGAAGATTCGAACAAAACAGAGACAAATTTATAATCGCGTTTAAATGTTGATTAACCGTCGGATTACATCGATCCGCGGCGTTATTTTCAATCACGAACGGCTGTTTCTCTGGCCGGTCGCTATTTCGGATCGTTAATCATCGTCGGCCGTTCGATCGGGATCGCTCGTGCCGACGAAATCATTTCCGAATCAGTGATCGCGAGCAACCCTGCACACGTTTCCGGGCGTGCAATTTAAATTCATGAGGCCGGGCGCAAGAACGTTAAGCACCGCGTCGTTACACGTCGATAACTCCGATCCAAGAATCGAACATGAAAGTTAACTGACAACCAACTCGGCCCCGAGATTCTCAAATCTCGGTTTAATTAGCCAAAGTGCCGCCGCGCTAAGTACGCGTTTTATCTCCGCAATTTGTGACCCTCGAGTGTGAAAAGCGAGGAGCCTTGGGTTATGAATACCCGCGTCACGACTGGCTACTGGCCAGACCCTGCAACTTCGCCAAAGCTAGAACGTACTCAGTACCCTTTTCATAAAACCGTACCGTCAATGATTTCGAACTCATCGTATTATATATTTACGTCACGCCATATCGTTGCTTAATTAACCAGAGAATCTCGTTAGAAAGATACAATCAAGACATATAAAAAATAAGGATTCTCTATTTAGCTACTTTTGCTCTGTTGTGCTGCAAGTTTGCATTGCTTTCATAATTTTCCAGATTTCATCGAGGCAACTCATATAGGTTTATTTGGATTTATCTAAAATTACCAATATAACTAAAAATAAAAGTCTACGAATTTCATTGATTTCATGACTTTCTCGAGGAATGGATATTATTATTTTCTAAGATGAAATTAACACTAGAAAGACTGAAACTTAGTATATACCTATATGTATTGTCCAAAAGCAGTCAAAATGACTGCATTGTGAAAGAATAATGTGTAAAGAAATTTGTCTAAAATTAATTTTTAATATTTTTTATATTATTTACAGTCATATAACAAGTTATTAGTAAATGTTAACAATAAAAAAAAAATTTACTTCACTTGGGAAAAAATAATTTATGCATTATTATTTGTACATTTGCCCAAAAGCAGTCAAAGTGACTTCCTTGGGCAATCTAGTGTTAAATATATTGTTAAATATTCAGTTATTTTGTTTCGTTGATTATAGGGACTAGGTATCTCAAATTTGCCCATTTCTACAATCTACGCGATAATTGCTCCCTTTTAGGAGACAGTGAGACAATATAAAAGTCTCTGATCGATTGATTTGATTCTGCGAGTGAAAGAAACTGACTTCGGGGCGGTGAATACTCGAAGAAAGACGGGTCGTTGATTAAAACGTCCGTGCTCGTTCCACGGACGTGGAAACGAATATTTCCAGTCGGAAGAGCTCGAAGAGGCACAAAGATCGCCTCGGCTGGAATTTTCTAAGTGACTTGCGCCCGGCGCGTCATCCAGGATTCTCCATTATCGTAGCACGCCGATCGGCCGTACCCGGACGGCAATTACACGTGGGTACACCGTCAATTAGGCAAGTTTAATCGGTAATCGGATTATCAGTGATACGCGTTATACTGCACCGTTGCACCCCTCGCACGTAGATGTGCTCGTTCACGTGTATTCGCTTGCTTGGCTGGCACACGTACACGCCGGCACACGTACGCGTGTCTACGATCGAAAAGTCAAGTTAATTTAATCATTGCATCATTCGAACAATTACCGTCGCGATCGTTTCCACGGGTTGACAAACGGCCACTGGAACGAGCATTATGCGCACAATTATTTCATCTCTTCCCGTGGCAATTGCGAAACCATCGACGATTATCCGCCTATCGTCCTATATGGCCCGCGCCGATTACAATTCTGTACGCGTAACAAGGGTCCCAAAGCTTTTATGGTCTCCCATTATTTACCTCTCGTTGTTTGCCTCCTTGTTACATTGGTCAACGAGCTGTTAATGAAATACATCCATTCAACGGATGCTAATTTACGTCGAGCGTTCGTTGACGAGGCAACTACAAGTCACTGGCTCGTTCGGCACGATCAGCGAATGTAACCCATTTGCATCGTTCATCGATCATCGCGTCAACTATTTGGACGGAACATTACATTAAATTTTATTACGTTCATAGCTCGAGGCGTATGATTCGAACGGGTCAACGGGACGTGATAAATCTGAAAGGAATAAACTTGACATTGAACCCTTCCTCATTTTTATGCTTTACGCTTTACGTCGACGCGTAATTGGTCATTTTCGCATGTCCCACTAAGTTTTTGTTGCTGAAGGGTAGCCTCCTGATTTATCTCCGTCGCTGACTCGACGAGCAGATCTGGCCAGAGTAATTGCAGGTGTTGCGTATACGCGTCGGGAATAAGACCGCGCGAGGGATCGCAGTAATTGAACTGCCTTATTCCTGGAAAACGCGGCTTTTCGTTCGGCAGGCGTAACCGCGGCTTTCTTAGACAAGCCAGACCCTTTGTGTACGATACAAATTTATGCATGCTTCTGAGTCTCTCGCATTTGCTACATGCAATGTTCAATTTTATGATATAATCAATTATTATATATAATTTTATCATCAAATTGTTGATATAATAATGAGAAGATCGAGGCGATGAATGATTATTTACTGATTTTCTTTATAAGAGTAGTTGTTTATTTCGTGAAACTGAAACTGAAACGAGGTGTATTGTTCCAGGTAAGACGGTTGGATTCGTTAAAATCTTCAGACAGGATGGAGTCCGTCGCGTGTTTTGCTAGGAGACTCAACAAGTTACGCGTGGAAATTTCACGGTGCTTCGGCTTGAGGCCATTATTAAAGGAATAACAACCCGGGAGCTGGGTCGGAGTTCGAGAGAAACGTCGATCGACAACGACGTCGCATCGTTACGTTCTCCAGGCGATCAAGTTTCGAGCGCGGTGGCGAGGTTGCGGTTAAACCAGTTCGAACTCATTCGGCGCACGAAATTATATTGCGGATTTCTCGTGTACGCGCGTGTCCGCTTACTCGAGAGTTCCTGACTGGAACCCTCCCCTCGGTTGGAATCAGATAGCCCACCCGCGCGCTCTGATATTGCCATTCTTGTGTATGCAGAGACCCTCTGCCCGGCAGCTAACCGAATTTCCATTGCTACGTGCCGTATCGTTACTCTCCTTTATGTTAAACCTTTATTTCCACAGATTATGCATTTTTGTTCGTTATCAGTCGCGCCACGAAGAACCGAGCTATGCACGGAATGTTATTAGCTTATTCAGGAAGATAATCCTGTAAGAGACCCGCTGATTTTTCAGTATTCACCGACCGCGTCAACTCGGTTTTATTAACACCGGGCGTGCACGCGAACGCGGGAAACAATTCCGCGTTATATGACAGTTGAATAAATTCGCGAGTCGACGATTGGCCAAGTTTAAAGCCCCGGCTGGATGTGCCCGGGCATACTTCGGCTAACAATTGCATGAGGAACACTCGCGACGTGATTACGACGGAAACTTTGCGTATCCGTGTAGCAGGGCGGAATTACGAGACGCGGTATACTCTTTCGACTACGGAAACTTCCGGAGTGTTCCTCCTCCTCCTACTCCTCGTACACCCCTCGTAGGAAATAATTCACCGCGAGCATTGTTCCGCCGTGGACTCGGCGGTAATGGTGCTCGTTAAACAGGTTGAACGCATCGATTTTACGTATCGTTTACGCGGAAGAATCACCCGATGATTGTCTGTAAACCATCTATGAGGAGTCTGCTGCTCCTCAACGGATTACTTGGAACCGAGAATAATGGAAGTACCTTAGAGAAGGCAATTACGCATCGAAATTCGACTCGAACGAATGGGGAATTCGACCGTTCTCCTATATCAACGGTGTACATACTTCATGAGCAGATCTCGGTCTGGGTGTACACCATTGCTCCTCCATACACCTTGAATAGAGTATCTGGCTTGTTTCCAAACGACCGCGGCTCCGAGGATGACGATCAAAATGAGATTCGATGCCGGGAACCGAGCAAGGATTACGCCGTTACGAAGGACGTCAACCGCGCCAGGTCGCTGACCATCCAAGGAACTTCCTTGTTACCAGTTACAATTTTGTTTATTCAGATGAATACGGAATTTCAATTACCTTCAGGGACGCGTCAACCTTGTCCAGATCATCTCTTTACATAAAAAAGAAATAAATAGTCGAAAGATCCGAACAGGAATAAAAAAAAAATATAGCCTTGCAATTTAATTCATTTTTATAATACAATTCTGATAGCGACGTGCTTTTCGAAAAAAAAAAAAAAATTCTCTGAGTCAGACGGCAAAGCGAAACGAAAGTGGAAAATTCAGGTCGGGCCGATCGGGTCGTTTGACGCGGGATCCCTCTCAAAGGAATAACGTCCTGTGTGGCCGGTTTTTGCGATAGACACAGGCCTCTCTGCGCCTCTCCTCGTTATATTGTGTATTAAAGTTAAAAAGTCGGGCTTTCTATCTGAATTTGACCCGCGATTTTTGCGTGTGGCGTATAAACCCAGCGACGGAGGATTTTATCCGTCCTGCGGCGTGTACGACTATTCGCTCCCGACCGTTTTTTTTTTCCCATATCGATGTATCGATTATTCGCGGTTTGCAAATTCCGAAAGTCACGGTTATCGCGAATGTTTTTACGAATTCTGCTAGAGCTACTCACCCAATACGGTGCCCATATAAGAGTGGGACGTATCGAAGTAGATCGGACCAGCGGTGCTCTCGAACGTTGCATCCTTACTGAACAAGCCTTTATCTCGAATTAACCGCAGCGTCCATCGTCTGTAACAGTAATACAAATCCCTGTGTAATCCTTGCAAGTCGGAACGGTATTTCGATTTCTGGTATATAACACGTGTTTCTTCCAAAGTCAACGAATGTAGAAAATACGTTGAGTACGCAGACGCTCATAGAATATAAAAATGAAATTCGTATTAGTGTCCTTAAAGAATAAAAGAAATTTTTACAGTTGATTTCAGTTTACACAAGAGTCTGCAGTTTAGCATGCAAATTCTTGTAAACTCGGATGAACAATCAAGTTTTCATCGGACGACAGGATGAATCAGCTTGGAAACCTTTGAAGTATCGCGTTAACCTTGTGACTATCAGCGGCTGCCCACGTTTCGACGGATGAGCCGGGGTCGATGGTAACAGGTAGAATCGGTGTCGTTGCACCAGAATCGAGGAACGTTAGAGCAGCCGTTGTGATCTCGTGAGTCAGCGATTCCTGGACGATGACGCGATCAGACCTTCTCGTTTTCCGAGTGGAGAACCGCGTTTCGAAGGACGGGACCGAGCGAGCGAGCGAGCGAGCGACGGAAACAGTTAACGAGTAACAACCGGTGTCGCGTCAACGGATCAGCGAGGCTTTCGGACGAGTCTATTAAATTTAGAAAATGTGAAAGGATTCGACGCGTGACATTGAAACGCGGATTGCGTACTGCGTACGCGCGTTATGGTATAATCCTGTGAATCCGTGGGTAAATGGATTAGGTCTAATTAAATTCTCAGCGAGCCGGGATTATCCGCGGACGCGCTAACAAAATATTCGAGGATTACTCAACTTTTGATTCAGCGAAATGTAGAAAATCTGACGTAAAACCATGATTCTATGAATTTCACTACAATTCTCCCTCAGGCGTTCGGAGTAGCTGACTAATTAGCGAATCGACTTGGAATTGATGATCGAGAAAGGAATTCAGTATTATGCTTGAACATTTCGAGGAAGAGATGTCTGAACGAAATTCTCTGAGGGTGTCGTACGACCGAGGGACAAGGAGGCACGAGAATGGATCCTCCGACTCTTTGTCTAGCGAAAAGAATTTAATACGGCCGCATTACCATAAAGGAACGAGCTACGGAACGAGCTGACATTACGCAAGGTATTAACGGAAGAGCAACAATTAGTCGCGGATCCTCGTACCGCTCTCGTCGCATCTGCCGCAATTATTTCCCTAACTTGATAGCGAGCTGTTCGCGATAACGGTGAACCTTGTTTCCTACCTCCTATCCCGGTGCTTTGTCCCATGAAATTGGTCCCGTTAAGAAATTCATAAAGCCGTCCGAGTGCTGCAAAAACCGGTCGTGGCACCGACGTCCTAAGCGATTCATTTTATAACAAGCTCCGAATTTCGCGGTCCGAGGTCGATAGAGACTTGGCCGATCTTTCCCGTTCATACAGAGAGAATAGTAAATTTCATTTCATCAAAGACTGATGAGTAATAGTGTTATAAAAACGCATTTCGTTTACCTTTTGCTCGAAATTTCAAAGGGCGAGCATCCTTTGTCTAAAAATTCAGACTGATAGGGCTCACGAGTGTTTAACCGGGCAATCGTTCCAAAGCGTTCGCGGATATTGCAAAAACCGAGCGAATTTTGCATTGCAAATGGATGCAGCACGCAACATCTGCGCAGGGACGCAACTTTTCCGAAGAACACTGCGCGCTTGCCTTTCTTTACCTTTCGCATCCCGGTGTCATTAGACGCCCCTGTGTGCTCGGCACGAGTTGCGTTGGCTGAATTCGAACCGTGCCCACGTGCGGGAAAACTGGATTCCATCCGGTCTGTTCCTAGCGACTATATTCGGAAGGATCGTGCGAAAGGAATGCGATTGTGCTCGGCGATTATTCAGGAATCGTTGCTATCGAAATGCGTTTTGGTAAAAACAATGTCTTCCAGCGTTAAAACTGGATTGCAGAGACTTTTGTGTAAAATAAAACGTAAAGCGGTACAAGTTTGTTGTAATAAATAGCGAGATCTGTCTTGCGGTTCGTCGATGTAAAACAGATAAGGCACGTAAAATGGAAAAAGAATTGCAAACTGTTTTCCGTGAAGGAAGTCCGGCGTGACAAAGGGGCGGATCGGCGGCAATAAACCCCGTCAGGCAGATCGTTTTGGCGAGTTTTGAATCGCGCCGCTGCCTCGATACACACGTAGGTGACTGCATAGGTACAAAGAACGCGTCGTGTCGAGGGAACGGAGTTCCACCCTTCCCCGCGGCATTATCTTGCCAGTTTGTACCAGGTGCAGCAGGGTGGAAACATCGAGGGGTCGCGGAAGAAAAAGAGGAGGCACGCTTGGTACGACATCGAGGACGAAGAGGGGAGTTCCACCTCTGCTTTACATTTTATTGCTTGCCGTGAATTCGACCGATTTACATAAAAAGACGAACGTCCCGTGTCGCCCGCTTATTCACTCGCTCCGCCAGCGAATCGCGCAACCAGGAGATAGCCTCTCTGCCGGTTCAACGATTCGCCAGCGAATTTTCGCGCGGCAGACACTCGCTCACAAATGAAAATTAACTTTCCGATACACCAGAAGCTGAACAACGATCTTGATTTATCGTATTCAGAACTAGAATCTTGCGTTAAGAGATAAAGAATCGACGGACGAGGATTTAATACTTAAAAATCATTGAATCCTTTTCGTTTTACACTGAGAGTTTGTCGCGGAGTGTGCGAGGGTCGAGCCAGACGTTTGATAGAAAGCGCGAGCCGTGGGCGGAGTCCGAAAACGGATCGAAAGGCAATTTCGTTTCTGGCTAAGCGAGCGCGTGTTTCTCGCGATGGAAATTTAATTAACGATCGATCGGAGATCGAGGGAAGATCAAACGCTCTTTTTCACATAAATAGATCCAGGAGTAATTGCCATCGAGCCGGTGGTAAATGGTCTTTCCGGGGCATCGGGAATTATTCAACGAAAACTAGACTGACCGGTTTGCCGTAAAAACGATGGGGTTGATGGGGTGATTTTAAGGCCTGCGCGGTGCTAGAAGGATTCCAACTAATTGCCCGTTTCGAAGTTCCACTGCGATATATATGGTTCACTAAAGTTGTTTGATTGAGAGTCGCGACAATCGAGCGACCGCGTATCCGTCGGATCGAGACACGAACTACCACTTCATTAGTCCGGCGTTCAGAATTACGAAAGCTCCGTGTGAATTTTAATCCATCACCGGGAGACGCGAATTAAAAATCATTGAATGAAAACGTCGAACGCGATTACTTCTTAACGAGTGTTCAATTCGTGGCGAGCAGAATTTTCGGATTATTCATTGGACGAAAGAACCGATTATAAATTGCTCCGAAGCACCTGTCCGTGCTTACGCGGTACGGAATTTATATCGGCCGGTCGTCGGTGTAATTAATTTCATTTAAGGGAAACGCGGGAAAGCAAATATAACGTAATTTTGTGGAAACAGAGGGAATTGTATTATCTCCGCGGGTGTATCGCTTTCAAATGTCAGGAAAGCTTTGTTTCACGGCTTGATATAGTGCCAAGTATCCTGTAACTCTGTTAATCTGCCCTCGCACATCTGCGCCCTTCAACGTGTACCTGCACGCCGCGCACACGTCCGCGTAAACCGCACGCGTAAGTATATAGGTACCGCACGAACTTGACCTTAATTGGATCTAGGCCTATTGACCTGACCAGACGATACCGTGGGAACGCCGATGCACGATTAGAACTTTGATATGCGGCTGAGATTTCGGGTTTCCGTTCGAACCCGAAATAATTGCGCCGGCCGCAGACACGCGCGTCGAATAAATAAACCTCTAGAAATTATTCGTGAACCACCGATGAAATCTCATTGAAACGAATCTGACTGGTGTGTCAAATTGCTTTTGAATGCGAACAATTCGCGGCGGGCGTAGCGAAGCACGTATGCAAAATTCGGATCTTCGTCCGCGTTCCTTATTCAAATAAAAGCTTCCACGAGCTCGACTCTCGAGGTAAATTTACTCCGAGAATAAACCCGTGTAATTTCCACGTAACGAAGTAATCTCGGTTTAAGTGCCAAAAAATTCGAAACAAAACGAGATCCACGTTGGCAACTAGCATGTTTAAACGAAGGGAAGCGTAAGCAAAAGTCGTCGAGGGGCACACGGATCTCGCCCTTTGATCCCGGTCCGGAAGAAAGGTCCCGCGGTAATTCGTTCAAAAAAATTCTTTAATGCCGTGTTCATTTCGCGCTGCAATTTCCACGGGGGAAAAGATGTGTCACGAGCGAGCTCTTTGTTAGACCGGACTCGGTTACTTTTCATTCCCCGGTATGCAAGAAATAAACCGACGACTTACTTGTCGAGCGTCCGCAGTTGCACCAGCAGAGGTTGATTGTCGGCCACGTCGGGGACGTCGCGACGCATCCGGTTACGATGTTGTCTCAAGGCCGCAGTATCATAAGAGGCCACCTCGTAATAACCGATGTAACTGCCGCGCGTGATACCTGCAACACGCGTGCATCCCATTGTTAAAAAGGAAAAAAACAGACTTTGACCTGTCGTGTACAGTCGTACATATTATAATGAAAATTAATGCTATGTTTCATGCAATGCTTCACGCAATAATTGGCATAATGGTACTATTTAAAACAGCAAAACGTTTGCAGAGTAATAGAACGTTTTCCGATATCTACAATAGTCAGTATCGTTGTATTGCGTAAAAGTTGCTGAAACTTAGGGATTAGCATTGCATCCTATGATTGTAAAATATCGGAGCATTAGCCTGTTTGTTCCAGACGTTTTAACGGAATCGATGAACGACAAAGAGAAATCGCCTCGGATCTTGCAAAATTCGAAGCTCCGGGACTTGGACTTTCACTATCTCCGCGAAGTTACCAGGAATTTCGTCAGAGTTCGTTCGAGACAGTTTAAGCCTGTGGGTGGAACGAGCCTCAAATCCTTTTTCTCCATTGGATTAATTTCAACTTCACTTTCTATTATAAGTTCCGACCATTAATAATTAGATTTCCGTGATTTTATACATCTACGGAACGACTGGACGTGCAAAACATGAAATACATTATATTATGTGATATTTGAGGATTTCAGTTTTTAAGGATGTATTGGCTATATAGTCAATCTCAAAAATTATAGGAAATGCGTTTTTCTAAGGCACATAAACTTTTGGGATTGACTGTATAGCCAATACATCCTTAAGTCGAGCTCAGAAGCGTTTCATTTTGGATAAAAAACAAGCCGGTTATTATCGATTCGGTGAAATTAGCGAATCGTTCAAAAAACCGCATCGTGTGAAAGAGCTGTTTTACTAATAAAGCGCACCGTCGGAGGACAAAAGACGAATGCGACGGTACTTTGTACCGTTTGAAACGTTCGATCAATTGCGTGAGTCACGGTAAATCACATCGCTCGATCATACTTTGCTCCGATTCAGCGGAAGCCGGGATCTCGTGACCGAGTTTTCGGGCAAAGATCGCGGAGGCTCTCCTTGGAAGCTTTCAGCTCGGGAATCCTCTTAGGGATACGCTAACTCAGATCTCGGAACGGATAGCACAACGAGGGAGAATGTTTCGCTTTTACCTTTTCGGTCGGATGCATCAGGGTCGCGTCATAGGAGAGATAGGATCGGTGAAGGTGGATAAAGAGTGCACTCGCAATTAGAGTGCCATTCGGGGTCGCGCTCCCCATTGTGTCGGCCTGTTAAGTACCGATCCCGAACAAAGGAGAGACACTCGAGGAACAAAGCGGAGTGTTGACTATTAAAGTGTCGCGCGCGGAGTTTAACGGCACCTCGTGCGGCGTGCTCCAGGCCGCATCGTATGGCTTGGCTTGCAGGTTACGCAACACCCGCCGATAATCTAATTATCGTCCCTCGTTATCGATGCCGCGACCCCGCGGCTAGTCGCAACTACTACTACTACTACTCCTGGTCCCTCCGCCCCGCGGACACTTTGTATCGGATTTTGTATCGGAGAATCGGTGTCGTTCTACCCCCGGGCCCGTCTAACAACTTCCACGTGCACGTTCCTCGATGGCAGCCCGCGTGAATTTCGTCCTCGTTACGTTATCAGGACAGTAACTCACGGTTCGCGATTTCAGGAGAAAAGATTGTTAAACGATATTCAGCCTCATAAATACGAAGACGCTCACTCGGTTCCGAGTATAACGCGAATCGCTGCCATCGTAGATTCTATAGAGCAGGTCTCTACGATAGTATGACCAATTGAAATTTGGGGTAGACGCTTTCCTCTTATTGACCCATTTCGAATTGAATTGAACCGCAAATTCCGCAATTGATCGAATCGCGTATTCATGGATCTGGCACAAGGGAGCACGAATACCGGTTACGCAAACTGCGTGAATCTTTCCTAATGGCAATGCCTTTCGACTGAGCCGATTCCGCGCAGCTCGGTTAATAGCCATGAAAACATTCAAAGGGACGACCCGTTCCAAACCGTGAATCGGCACGATACCTCTAATCTCCATCAAAGCGTGCTAATGAACTGGGAAATTAACGAGTGAACGGAGGGAGGAACCCGCTGAAACCCGTCGGGAATCGAACATGACTCACCTCTGTGCGGTGGCACCGGATGAAGAGGCGAGGCAACCGCGATGATTGAAAGGCAACCGAGCACCAAGAAGAAAATCGCCGGTGTCTCGATTCGTGGTCCGGAGCTGAAGGGGTACATCGCGACCCTCTGGGCCCCGTTCCGGCCACCTCTGTCGTCGTCCTCTTCCTCCTCCTCCTCCTCCTCCTCTTCCCCTCCTTCGCCGAGGACCAGGGCCGTAGCGCGCATCGGCTCGACGTTCTCCGGCCCAGCAACAACTAATGGCGCTATCTGCCTTTCGTCGAACAGCCGACCACCACACTTTGCGAGTCACCCGCCAGGCTCATCTCTCTTCTTTTCTCGTCCTCTATCTCGCTCTTCGTGTTCCTCTTCTTCTTCCACCGAACGCGCTTCCGCCACGTCCTCTTTCTCCTCCGCGGGTAGCTAAACCTTTCGACCCTCCTCTCTCAGCCTTTTTCCACTCAGCTCTTGGCTTCGTCGATTGCCGTCTCCTCTTCGTCCTTACGCCCGATCGATCCCACGTCTGAAAAAAAAACCAGTTGGAAATCTGGAATTAATTTTAAATCGAAGAGACGTTCTCTAGTTTCAATCGGACGTTCATCGATTTAACTTGGAGTACGTGCGAACTCGGGTATGATAAACCGCCGGTGAAAGGGTTAAACGGGACGTCATAGACGAGCGATTTTACAAGCCACGGCTAATCGTAAGAACAACGAGAGAACCGTAGAAATTGACGGTGTTACGCAAGACGTGGCCGAGCGCGAAAACGGCGCGGCGCAGCGCGCGGGTGAGGGAAGGCAATTCTTTAAACGTCTCCTTAAGAAGTTGTTCCTGAAAAATTGCCCCGAGGAGCACGTGTAGCCGGAAGACGCTATGGCCAACTTCTGCGATAAATCATCGTCAATGCTCGCCGGTACCGTTCGTTATACTGTCCTTAGACCTCTCGCATGTATCCTCCGGCGGACAACCTACTCGATGAACGTGAATATTTCACTTCTCGCGGTCGTCCAAACTTCTTCTGTCAAATTTTTCATCCATAATCGCATTTCCCGTTCCACGAACGATCCCCTTGCGTCCAACGAGCTTCGCTAAAAAATAATCGTATCCTCTTGTAATAAAAACAGAAAATTTCAATCAACAGTCGCGTCTCCCATGCCATAACGAGCCAGGGTCCTTCCGTGCAATAAAACCCCGAAGGGTGGATATTCAAAAGAGCCCTTCGCTCCGGGCAAAGGGCCAAAGGGACGATTTGGAAGCCACTAAAAGGTGGGAGCTTCCCATGCGTGGTAACAGCGTTACGCGAAAACGTTTGCTCCCCGTTCGATGGATAGTATATGTATAACACGCACGGTCCACTACAGGAACCGATCCCTGTCCACCGGTAAACTCCCGCGCGAGCTATGGGAAAACGATATCCCGTGCAGTCACGGTCCGTCCGTTCGACGTGTCGATTTTCGCGTTTTTTCTACGTTTCTGGTGTCGCGGTATAGAATGACACGTAACCGTGTAACCAAAACGAACGGTTTGCAACCGTTTCCTCGTGCTCTCGCCGATTTCTTCTCACAGTAGCGTAGCTGCGGTGATTCTTAATCGGGTGGGCGAAAGCAGTTACTATACGTATACTCTCGAAACGCAGCGAGCATGAAAACCGGTAAAAATTGTCGGACGGAGAAACTAGATGAGCGTGTAACTTTCCGTTTCTATCCGACGAGCCCGCGAATCGGCTCGATCGCGAGCCAGCCTAGCGTACAATCTCATCTCTAAGAATTACAAATGTCCGCGTTCTTTTTTCAACCGCGGCACGTACAACGGGGGCGTGTTTTATCAAGCCAGTGCACGCGGTTTCGCAGGAACGTAACGTCGTCTGTACGGGGACAGGAGAAGAGAGCGTGCAGCAGGCGAGTGAATAGGAGTGTGGCAATACTGAGGAGAGCGAGGGAGAGAATTCGGGCCGCGTCTCCGCGGTGACAATTTGCAAAATTGTCTCGCGCTCTGTTCGCCGCTCCTCTCGCTCGACAATCCACGAATGATAATCGACCCACGTAGGTAGATACCGACGGCTTTGTCCTCCGAGCCGCGATACACCGCGCCCCGACGCTAGAAAGAACAATGGAACGATGAACGAACAGGATTCGCCAATTCGCGAAAATGTGCATCGACTCTGCTGCAAAACCATTTCTTCTCTCGCGACGAATATGACCTCCGTTATACGCGCATTGTTTGGATAATATTCTTTACAATAAATAATGTAAATCGGTGTAGCCAATAGCAAAAATAATCCAAAGGAGTGCCTCATTATTAATTAACACTAGATTGCCGAAGGAAGTCATTTTGACTGCTTTTTAATTTCAATTAGAAAAACAATTATGTATATAATGACACAATTTCTTAGAATTTTGTGACTTTTTGTACAACATATAAATGCGTTTATTAATAATTGTAGTTACCTTCCCTCTCCTCCATTTCCGGTATATATATATGTGTTATACCTATATTGCCCAAAAGCAGTCAGTCTTTCTAGTGTTAATTTGAACAGAAACTTCTTGTATTTCAGTGTTTCACACATATTTGATCCAGTCTACCGACGAGTACAGAGGA